GTGTTGTAAAAACTGCAGTAAACTGCAAAAAAACATCAAGCAATATAACCGAATGGAATGTCAGCGGAACGGTGGGGTGATATTTGGTGGGAAAATTGCAAAGCAGGATGCGGCTAACATCCACCCATACACAAATACACTCGCATAAAAATAGATCTAGATTGGGTTAGAAAAAGAGACAGCGGCAGGAGGCATGTGGCATGGGGCATGGGGCATGATGGCCACTCTCGCATGTGCATAAACATTCGCTTGTTATATGTTTAACTTTTTCGTCGGGCAGAAAAAACATTTTTATAGAGTTTTGTTTTCATTTTATTTGCCATGTTTGTTTATTTTTATTTGCCGCTCGTTGCCGTTGCCATTGCCGTTGCTGATGCCGATGTCGTTTGTTGTTGGTTGTTTTCCCCCGGATTTATCCCCTCATACTAGCAATTTCTACCCAAAAATTTTCCTGCTGGTGTTTCACTATCTCTTCAGCTATTTTTCTTATATTTTGTAAATTTTTTGTTTGCCCTTCTTGTTTCGGCTGCACATTATGCTGTCTTGCCTTGTCCTGGTCCCTGGCCCTGGTTCTGGTTCTGGTCCTTCGATATCCTTTTTTGTCGTGCGGCGCAACGAGCAAATGAAAAATAAGCTTTGAAAACATTTTGCCCCATTTAAAGAACAACATTTCGTTATTGTCGTCGCCGTCCCCTTGTTTGTCTTATATTACAAGTTCTGGTCACCCAACATGCTGGACATTCTTGGTCTTGTTTTCTTAGCTTTTTTTTTTTGTTTTTATTTTTGTTGTGTCCTCTGTCCAATTTGATTTTTATATTCCTTTTTTTTTTGTTGTGTGTGGTAGTTTCTATTTCGTGTTGTGTCATAGATGAAATGAGTTTCTCGGCATTTTCCAGTTGATGTGCTTAATGGTGTTTGCTTTTACAACTTTCTATTTGCCAGTTGTTCTTTTGGCCACATCTTTATGCTAATCTCTGTCACACTTTTCCAGACGTATGCGGCCAAGGAAATAGTGTTTAAATATACTATTTTTAAAACAAAAACTGCACAGAATAAGATGTTCGACATCCCTTAAATATCTATTACCTTTTGAATAAATGATTAAATTTTTGGCTGTAGAACTGATAGCCTTCATTGCTTAAACCTACATAGTACATAGAAACCTTTTTCAATTGACGAGAAGAGATGTGAAATGATCTGAAGAAGGGGCCAAAACCAAAAGAACAGTCATTCACTCGGCTCCTGCTTGGTTGCTTTTAGTGTAATTAAAAATGCAGTCTACAAATCTCTTACCACTTTCTCTGCTTTTCTTTTTACATTTTCCTTTTTCTATTTTTTTCCTCAAATTTTTTTTTCCATTTGCAGCATACTTTCTTATGCGTTCTCCTTTTACTCCGCTGCGGCTTGTTGTTGTTCGATGTGGGACCTTTTGGCCACCGTTGCCGACAGGACTTTTTTCCTCTCCTTAAAGAGCTTTAAAACAGTGGCATGAAAATTATTTAATTCACCACAGTTCGCATTTAAACGCATGGCGGGCAAAACGAATGCAACACTAATTGCATTTTTTTTCACGCCATTTTCCGTTGATAAAGGGATTTGGACAACCTCGGTGACTGCCACTGATTTCGATGGGTATGGTGGCAACCAGAAGACGTCCTCCGGGGCGGTGGCACAAACTTAATTAAGCCCCAATGCCAACTGCCTACGGGTATGGGTGGGTGGTTGGCAGGCAAGTAAATGGCAGTTGGCTGGTGCAGCGTCTTTAATAAAGCGTGACCGAGAAGCCAACTTGGCCGCAGGTAATGAAAAAACCGATGACAATTTTTAGTTGCTACCATGAAAACATTTCAATTGCGGCTGCCAGGCTTTGTCGTATATCCTAGAGCATGGTCAGGATCAGCAAGGATAACAGTTGAAAGGAAAGCCAATATACTACTATGGTTTCAATATATTATATTTCTATGCACATATATCATCGCTAAAAAGTACTATTTATTTTGAAATAAAAAACGTAGATACTAGTGTAAGATTTTGCTGAAAAGTTGAACTCTACTATGTTCTTTTTCCATACCCTGAGCATTAGTTTCGTCTGCGTTTAATCACTTTGGTTGTGTCAGGGATTGGGAATATTTAGATAGATTTGGCACATTCCGCCACAAGTACACTCAGCTTCATTAGCTGCACTCGCCAAAGAAGGAGAAATGTGCTGCCAAAGCAGATTGCATGCAATCTCAGCATCTCAGATATTCTCTCATCTTGCATCCTGCATCCAGCATCTAGCATTCGGCATCCAGTATCCAGCATCCTTCAGGGCCAAATTTCTCTTTTCCCACGCAGGAAGTTCGGCGAGTGTGTGAGGCTTAAATAAATAATGGTCGTACGTCTTGCACTTTGATGCAGGGCATATCGACTCGCGATGGATGTGTGTTTTCTTTGTGTGTTCGAGGGTGTTTTTAAAGCGCTTAATTCTCATTTTGGTCCTGGCCATTTCTGCCGGCTTCCCCCCCGCATTCTATTCCCCTTATTTGGGCCACACTATCCCTCTGCTTGGTTGGCATAAATGCATTTAAAACAATAAATGCGCAAAGTGGAGCGCCGCAGGAACGCTCGTAAAGTGGAGCAAGCCAGACAAGAAGCCAGCCAGGATGTGCCAGCATGCTCCACTGGTTTCCAGTCCCGTCTCCCGTCCGCCCACTCCTCCTGATTCTCCTCCGTCACGGTCATTGCAAATTAATGGCCTTCAAAGTGGTTAAGCAGCAGGAGATGCAGTTCGCTGGACGCTCCGCTCGCCTTTCGTTTGCTGGCCACCGGGCAGCTCATCGAGTCCACAAAGAGCGCCGGCAAATTTTATGAGTTTCAACGGTGAAATAAGAAATTTTGCACAAAATAATATTACCCAAAGTGGGTAAAAAAAGGAAAGAGACAGAAATAATGGCAGAGAGAGAAAGAGAGAGAAAAGGGATATAGCTCCTGCGTTGCCTTTTTCCGTGTTGCCATTAAGTGCAAAAGGATTTTCATTCTTATGCGCATCCTGTGCATAATACAGCGGCCTCCGCACACGCAAAACTCATTGCCATTGTATTTGTTCAGTGGCTTAGGTAGTATTGCAACAAAAGGGGATTTAAGTTGACTAGAATTTTCATCACATCCCATTTTTATGTCTTTTGTTCGGCTTCTAGAACACCTTAAATGAACAATCTTCATAATTGAAATGAGTTTAAGCTTTAAAGTAAATGTATACTCTTCTATCACTTTCTTAAATCAATTTTGAAGCCCCTTTAAAACACGCCACTGTGTATATGTGTGTCCCTATCTGTGTTTGGCTGCTACCATATCTTCCTCCATCTGCCGGTATCTGCGTGTCTGTGTGAGTTTGCAAGGATATGCCAATTTATTGCACACACGAGTGCATTAGAGTACCAGAGTCCTTTGGCAGTGTCTCGCTCTCTTGTGCTTCCCATCGTCTTGTCTCTTTCGGGCGCTCTGCTACCCGTCTCTTTCCCTGGCCCGAATGCTGGGCCAGGCCAAAGTTTTTGTGTTCATTTGGCGATTGCGGCTGCTGCATGTCTGGCAGAAATTACTTAATCCTTGCGGTTTTCTGGAGCAGCAAGTGCATTCTGTGACCATTTCCCTCAATCCTGGATCCAATTCCCTCTCCTTGGTGCTGCCCCCTTCCGCATCCTCATTCGTTTTCCCATTAAAGAAATTGTAATTGGCATTTGTTGTTATTTAAGCAAGCTGGCAAAATCATTTATTTGTTCCTTTTAAAGTTCGCTGGTCCACATTGTAGAGCATTTTCAACTGGATTCCCCACCCTCAAGTGGCAGCTTCCTCTTAGCTCCCCTACCCGGAAAATTCTGCTCGGCACGGCGACTGTTGACTGGTCCGTCTTAGCGCCTTTAAATATTTGCCAGGACCCTTGGAGGCCTTTCCCCGCCAGAGCTCCCGCTGCCATTGGCTTTATTGCTCCCCGAATGGAGCGGAATCCCTTCCATCTTATTTTAAGCAGTGGGAGAAATAAGCAACATTAGAATTAACTAATTTTTAATGGTTTCTTTGTAAAAGATTTATTTAAAAAAAAAATTTGTTTTTATCCTATTTATTGTTATTATTTTTTTATAATTTTCCCCTTTAGTTTCTTGGATTTTTTTGCAGTGCATTGTTTCCTTCTGGTCCTTCGAACTCGAATGCATCCGCCTGAAGAAAGCTGTACCCTCCGTCCACATTGCAGATTACAAATAAATTATCGCTTAATAGTCTTTTTGCGTTGCCTGTTGTTGCTGTCGTTTCTGGCCAGGAAACTTAAGTCGCTCCTTTTTATTTGTTGGGGTGAGGAAAGTCCTGCTTCCATTGGGATGTTTTAATGTGGTCGTACCCTTTGATTCATTTTTAAGGGGCGTGTTACCAAAATGTAACGAAATAAATTAAATTTAACTGAACAAATAATTTTGTTTAAGTTCTTAATCAATTGCAATCAAGACAGTAAATGTGGGTACATTAACGTAGGGGATTTATAGGCCCAGTCCCAACGACAAGGTCTTTGAAAGTTAGGAATAACTAAAATCCAAATAGTAATGTATAATAAAGAGCAAATTTATTAAAAAAAATGTTGGTTTTAAATGTTACTTTATTTTTCAGTGTAGAAAAAAGAATCCTTCGGAATGAGTTGGCATTTTAACTGCCACAAACTTGCATATATATATATATGCAAAGGGGGAATTTCAATTGAGTTCATTGAATTCGATTTAAAAGCGAAATGGAAACGGGAAAAGCGTATGCGGAATGAATGCATTTTTTGGCATGGGGCACATGTCTGCCATGTCCAAAAGAATTCGAAGAGCGCCCAAAAAATAAGAATGAAAAGTATAATATTCAAAAATAAATGAATAAATAAAGGAGAGAAGGGACCACCACAGAACATATTTAAGGGCACTTTTGTGGTTGTTGACAAACCAAACGTGAAGGAATGTTAAAAAATATAAAAAAGAGAAACACATTAATTTATTTGTTTTCTCGTTTATTGATGATGATTCTTTTGTGTTCTTAAATTTCCATTGCACACTTAAAGGCTATTTACAATATCCGCTTGCCTAGACTAAAGTTAATTCCCTTTGTTTTTTACTTATGTAGTTCTTTAAACTCAGTGACATTTAATTACAATTATACATTCTTGTTACATTGCATATTTATTCTGCTGTGTTTTTCATTAAAGTTTTTTGTTTGTAAATTCTCACGTGCATTTCAGTTGCTTAGAGCTAGAAAAGTATTTCAACAAACGCAATAAAAACCGGAAAACAGAAAACACGCAATTCATCCTGTCGCCGCCATTTTGTAGCGGGCCGACTTCCGTGCGCCATATTGAAATGTCAGCGGCGTCAAAAGTCGCGCTGCGGTCATCCCAGCAGCCATTACCATTGCCCGGAGCTGCAGATGATGCACTTTGCCATCCGGAATGCTGGCCACTGGAATTTCACATGGGATTGCGAGGGCGAGTAAAAGAGATGGAGAGTGGGAAAGAGAGAGAGAAAGAAAAGAGACCACGTTTTTATTAATTTGCGTTAAAATTGTCAAAACAAGCAAGCGACAGTGCCGCGGTGTGTCATTCTGTCTGGAATCGTATTTATTTTTAATTAGCGGCCATTGACATTGCGGTCAAGTGCATTAACAGCCACTCACAAACATGGTTTGGCTTTTAATAAAATTAAAAGGAAATTTAAGAAAACTCTTGAAACAGATTAAAATCCCTAGTCATTTCCTTACCCGATCTGGAGTTGGTTAGCTTCTGATTCTTGAGGTCGAGGTCGTCGCGAAAGAGCTGGGCCGTCATGCTTGCCTCACGTTGCAAGTCCGGATATCGATCTATTTCCGCCACACATCGCAGATCCAGACCTAGGCGAGCTGGCGATATGGTTCGCTTTTGCTGAACCAGCTTGTTGAGTTGCAATTGATGATATCGCTGCTCATTGGCATAGAAATTCAATTGGGATACCACACGACGCATATTGTAGTCGTGGGCAGCGATCGTAGTTTCTATGCTGGGCAATAGATCCACTAGAGAGACCTACAAGGAATTATTTTTATAAAAATTAATAATAGTATAAGGTTGTGCCTTACCTTCAATCCATTTATATACCAGGTTATCCGGGTATAAAGGCTAGAAAAGTCAGTGCTGCAATTAACTTGGACAAAATCGTCGTAGCGATACATGGAGTGGAAACTGCTTATAAGAGGATTGTTTTGCGGGAGAGCTAAAATTATAAAAAAAATAATTATTTTAATCAAATAAAAAAGTAATATTGTATAGAGTTACTGTAAGTAAACAATATATTAATCCCTGATACCTTGGTTTTAAGAACAAAAGCTATTTTATCATGTTTGTGACATAAAATTCCACTGAAAATTGCTCAGAAAGATTGCAAAGTTGGGACAGATGACTTTTCCCTTGGCTGACTGCATCTCAGTTACGTCCTTAGCTAATTTTAAACGCACATTACACATGCAAATGGTGCACCTTATTTTTTTTTTAGCTGCTCACGGTGCTTCTGGTTTTATGGTTGTTTTTGTTTGTTTTGCGCAAATTCTCTATTTGCTTTTGATAAATTTTTAAAAATATTTTAACAACAGTAGTGCCGGGAAATGTAACAGCAGAGAGACTGCAGAGCCAGCGGCACAGCTACCCCGCATCTACAAGATATTTATTTTATATCAGCGGAAAAATAGATGATCATAAAACACATGCAGAGAAACATCCTGTGGAGCAAAAGTAAAAGCGAAAATAAGAGGAAGGCAACACGCACAAGCTAAAAGGAGCATGGACGGCGGGGGGTAAGAAGTAGAAAAAGGACGAGCCAGGAGGACGGCACAGTGGAGGCCCAGGCTCTGTGGCAGTGGCGGAGCTTTTCATTTTAGCGATATCCTTTTTAAGCATAAAGTGCTGCCGTAAATCACAGAGCCGCACACAAGCTCATGTACATGTTGGAGCGTAGGAGCAGCTAGGGTGCGCTGTGCGGGCGCTGTGGGTGTCTGGGTGTTTGGGTGTGCGGATGCGAATCACATGCATCTCTTGGTTACATTTTATGAACGCGCCGCTGTTCCTCTCGCGAGCACATCCTGAATGGCTGGCTGACTCGCTGGCTGCATGGCTCGCTGCTGCTTCACAGCTTATCCTGTGCGTGTGCGCCACCCAATCACCCGACCGCCTTGTAGCTTCCTCACCTCCATACCCCTCTTTGGCCACTTTGCCGGCTCGTCATATATGCAAACGGCGTTGTATGTTTCTTGCAGTTTTCTTCTCCCGTTGTTTACTATTAAAATATCACGGAAATTACACATTTTACTCTGTTTATGCTGTGCTGCAGCAAAAGAAGCAAAGCAGCAGCAGTCCGTGGAGCATTCGCTGACGCAGTAAAGGCAACCAGGAGTATACACCTGTGCACTGAAATAATTTCCTTTTAGTTTTTAAAATCTGGATAAACTTGTTGTCTTTTTAATGAGTAAGAATATTAAAGTCTATGTCTATTAATAATTTTTGTATGATATTCTGTATTTGTTTGTGTTTTAAACCCAGTTTAACTCAGCTTTTTTGGCTTAGTGTTGCCGTATTTGCATCACACTTCCCAGGTAGTTTTTAAACAAGTATACGTACTTGTAGATGGTTTGGTAGATATATATATTTTGCCCATTCCAGTTAATATAAGACTAACAATTGGAATTGCATTTCATTACTCAAGCACTCACCCTCGACGCTCATGTTGGCATCGCGTGCTGTTAGCTGGAAATGGGGTGCATCTCCGGACACTTCGCACCTGTAAACGCCCGACGACTGGACGCCCAATAAATTGAGCTCTACGCGACAGGAGTATTCGTTGCAATCGTTGCCGCCATCGATCAGCCGCACCCCCTCCACATCGAAGGGTATGTAGGTGGGCGGTGTGAGGGGCGAGTATCTGCGGAATGTGAAAGACAAAGATTGGGTGAGTGATGGATTCTGGATAGTGGTGATATATAATATTTAGCTTACAAAATATTTTATATTTGGTTGTTAGAAAAAAGTAATTTACAAATTTCAAAATATAAGAAAAATCAACAATTTGTCTTTATATTAAGTTTTAAATATTACAGTTTTTTCAGTAAAATTTCAAGAGAAAATAGCCAAAATGGCAACACTTGCAAAGTGGCTGAGAGATGAGCCGGCAAAGTGGCCGCAAATTGCAAGAAACCCTTCTCCCTTTCGGAAGCCAACTGATAATCTGCAGATGTGTGTCGTAGGCTTGGGTTAAAAGCTTTCAAACCCATCAACGCAAACTGGCCAGGAAATGGAGGAATCGTTTCTCTTTTTCGCCACTCGCAGACAAGTGGCTTACATGCACTCAACCTTAACTGATTGCCTATGTGGGTTCAACGTGTGGAAAGCCAGTTCGGAATACGGGGGGAACGCCAATACGATGGGCTAGTGGTAGCCAGAAGAGAACTGGGAGCCGAGGGCAGCCCTTTAATTTGTTTGGTATTGTGGATTGATGCTCATTAATCTCACAAATGCCTCAAAACATGTAAAAAGCGGAATCCACAACAAAAAGTGTTCAAGTGGAAAACTTGTCCAACACACAAACACACACACGCATACAAACAGATGTCAAGTGGTATTTTCTCAACCCCTCCCAAGGACCACATAAATAAAACCCTGGCCGAAGCAAACAAAAAAGAATCGTTGCCTACTTTTCTGCGCTGCCGTTGTGTTGATAAGTCGCCTTTGAGCGCTACTTGTTAATAGCCTTGATAGGAATGGTGTGGTGAAAGGGGGTCCAGGGGGCGGACAGAACCGATTTCGCATTATTTGCGGCTTAGGCGGTAACTGCGGCAGCAAATCAACAAATTTGATAAGCAATATAAACGCCAACCACTGCCGCCCCATGCTCGTAACAAGGGGATTTGTTTTGGGCCAGAAGCCTGCTAAAGTTTTTTTGTTTGTTTGGAGGGTTTTCATGAGAAATATAAACTAAACAAGACTATGCCAGATATAATAATTTTAAGAAAGATTTAACTTAAAAAAGTATTGGCTTTTTCAAGGAATTTATATAATTCACGTCTAATTAGGTTGGTTTTTCTTTATTACTTTCCAAGCTGACAACAAACAAGATGAGAATTATATAAAAAATATTAAAAAATAGTTTCGGAAGGCATGCGCAATTACCCGGTTGAAAAAACTTAAAAGTGGCCAAATGTTGCAAGTTTTTTTGTCTTTAAGTTGAAACTTGTTCTTTTGTTTGGTGCCCTTTGCGAGCTGTGTTTGCCTTAATTTGCATTCGGCTGGCAAGTGCAAGTGGAATTGCAATTGCAATTTGCCTCCAGTTGACTTTTACGTGCTGCTGTCTAATTAAAACTTTCGTTTTGCCCCCTAAGGACCCGCTAACTGTCTCGTTGCCTTTCTCCATTGCCGTCTCCGGACTTTTCCCTTCATATATTGCAGCTGTTAGTATGTGAACCAAAGTATCTGAGCGCGCTGCTCATTTTTAATTAAGCAAAATGCGAGAGGCAACTACTCGAGATTTTTCATTATACCGCCCTCACCCTCACAACACTCAAAACCATCAAAACCGCGGCGGCATTCTAGCTGAAACCTGACAATAATCAAAGCCCGCCCCCCCACAACGACCAACTGCCACTTGTTGTGGCCAAGTTGCGGCCAAATGGCCTTTTAATCATAATATTTGGCCACCACTACCGATATGTGCGCACTTTTGGCAATTAATTTGTTGTTTGTTTCGCTGGAAACGATGTGTGTGCATAAATAATAAATGCGAGATGAACGGCTCGAAGCTGTTGGGAAGTCGGTGGTTCTGTTTGGTCAAACATTTAAATTAATTTGCAAACACAAATTAATTTATTTAATAATTAATTGAGCAAGAAACTTGGTCTGACAATCAACATATTTGTGCGCTGGAGCCCAGCAAGGGCAGGAAATAGCGCTGGGGGCTCAGAGGTCGGCGGGGCACCATGACACAGATTCCCGTGCATCTGACAGCTGCGTGTTGAAATAAATATCATAAATTATGAACAGAGACTGTGCGTCTCAAAACGATCAGGTTGCCCTCATAATTATGTAATAGCATTGCTGAACAATTTAAGAAAGGATATTCCAATGATTAAGTTATAATTCCTTGATGAAGATTCCCCAGTTAATTAAAATGCAATTGTTCGATAATTGATTTATTGCATGATTAAGAAAATTAAATGAGTTGGCTTATTTGGGAAATTTAATTGAAAATAGGATTTGTTTTTCTTTGAAAATTGTTATTGTTGTTCCATTATTATTTTTAATCTGTGACGCACTGTATGTACCATTTATAAATATGTTACGATACAGGCATGTCCCTCAAAAAACAAACATTTGTATATTCGCACCCACATGGGCTTACACTTCGTACTTACCTAAAAAACTCTCTTCCGTTTTTGTACCACTTAACCGAATTTAACGTGTGACCACTTATGTCATAGCTGCAGGATAATGTCACGTTATCACGAAAATCAACAATTTGTGGCACATTGATGTCAGTCACACGTAGACACTGAATGCGCCGCACAACTGTGCCACAGCCGGATGGAATCGGACCCAGAGTTGGAGTTGTTTGGTTGTTGTTGGATGGTCGGTGTATTCGGGTTGTCGGTGGCATATTCCGATAGCAGCGTGGTGGCAAGGATGAGAGCAGAGCAGAGAAGTGGTGGTAGAAGGTTAGTCTCGTGCAGCGAGATGAAAAACGTCAGATAAAATGATGAGAAATGCCATAAAAATGCTGAATAAAAAGAGTAAATACGAAAAAGTGGCAACGAAATGAAAATGTTTTGCATTCGTCTGCCTTAAATTGAGGCATTAAACCAGCCCCACAAAATCCTGATGCCATGTCATAGATTGTATGGTAATAAAAATTATTATTTGAACCTTTTTTTCAAAAACCATTTGGGCAAGAAATCTTATTCCCAAAAAAAAAAAAGATTAAATTAACGAAGATTGTTCTTTTTATATATTAATCTATGTTGTAACCTTTTTTGGATCACTTTAATTTAAGAAAACTGAAAATAAAAGCAAATATTCAGGAGAGAACTTTAAGAAGCAAGACTACTAATTTAATTTGTAGAAAGTCCCGACACTAAAACTCAGACAGAATCTTAGGGAACAAAAAAACTCTCTAAATGCTGCCGCCAACAACAATGGTAACTACAACTGGTAGTCACCGCGTTCTGGTTTTTACAATTTCCAGAACGTTTTTAAGTGCAAACAGTGAAAGCAAAAAAAAAAAAGTGCCGGAAAGAAAATGCCGGAAAAAATGGTTAATATCATTAGCTGCAATGGGTTTTTGTCGTTGGTGCTGCGGTGATGGTGCTGGAGCTGGTTCTGGTTCTGGAGGTTGGTATGCTGTTTTTCCACTTTCTTACATTTTTCGCTAAATGCCGAAGTTGCTGCTGCAAATTTCCATAATCTTGGCCCTGTCATGCCGCAGTTGAAGTTGCAACTTGCAATTGCAACTGGAGCACACTGCCGCATGATAAGCAAGCAATCCGCGAGACGACGCCAAGTGGATGCCGACAACTTGTGCATAATTTTCGCAAATCGCATTAGGTAAAGCAACAGCAGCTACAACACTAGCAACGCAACAGCAAACAGTAACAGCAATAGCAGCAGCAACATCAACAGCAACAGTTGCAGTGGCAGCACTCGTGAATTTAATTTGTCGCAGTTTACAGTTGAAATAACTTGCAAGGATGTCAAAAGTTACAATTGCCGAAGGCAGGACGAGCAGTGTATTTATTTTCGGTGTGCTTGCAGCCGAAAAACTCTTTGAGTTGCTTTATGCACTTGAGGAAAATAAGTTTTGTTTAGGCCTTGGGAAATTAGCATGAAACATACAAGCTATCTGAAGAGATTCCATTCCAAAAAAGTAACTAGTTATGGTAAAAACTATGGTAATGGTAGTATTTACATACTATCTGAATTCCTTTGATTTTATCCTTAAATTTAAAGTGTATTGGGATTTGTAGTAGGAGGGAAATGGGGTAACTGGTTTAAACTTTCAATAGACAAACAGACAAAAGTGACTGGCTGCGATTGCAGGCGGAGCCTGATGCTGATTCCTATTCTGACATGAGTTCTTTGAAGCATGTCAAAGCAGCCGACAAACAACAAAACAGCAACAGCTACAGCAATGGCAATAGCAACTGTAAGGGCAATAGCAACAGCAACAGAAACAAGGACAACAATGGCAAACACATTTGCAAATGGCAGCGGCAACCGCAGCTTAATGACAGCCGTAGAGGAAAAGTAAATGGAAAACTTCACCTGCGCGACTGAGAACAGGACACAACTGTTTGCGGTTGTGCGGGTGTGTGCGTTGTCTTTCGCTTGTTCGTATGTATGTATGTATGTATGTAAATAATAAAAAAAATAAGTACATCAAATACAGACAAAACGAAACTTTTTTGCACGGCAATCAACGCACTTGAGTGAACTTTGCTGCCTAACAACCAGAACCAGCCTCAGACTCAGAATCAGATTCTGAATCAGGACCAGAGGCTCAAGACCAGGATAAGAATGGGAATGCGTCTGAGGCAGGGAGAGGTTCAGTCCAAGACCGAGAAACAACTAAGGCAGCACATCAATTTGTACTTGCTTATGTGCACTTAAAAAATAGGGTAATTTAAAAAAAAAAAAGAACTAGTTTTCTATACCATTATGAATCAGAAACTGGAAATTAGGAGCAAATTAAGGTTAGATTATAATAGAAATGTTTAGGGATTTCTTCTTTCAATGCATATACATTTTTTTGTAGTGTATTCTGCCTTTCTCCTTAATATTCGCTCTATTCCCTTTATATGTCTGTCTGGAAGCATCTGTTCGCTTGTGGCTCATGAAGCTACGCAAACAAAGAAGACATCTCAGCCAGTTCTAATGAAAGTCAAGGGCCAAAAACAGTTCAATAAGCTCTTCTGCTCTGAAGACTTCGAAGGCTTCTCTTTAATATAGGAAAAAGCAAAGCCGAATAGTTGCTGAAGATCCTGAATTTTGCCTATTTTATCTAGCTGAGGGGAAAATCCGCTTTAAGCATTTGCCGCCAACAAACGATAAACGCTCGAACAGACAAATCTGCAGTAAACCAAGTAAAAAGTAAGCAGCCCAAGGATCTAAAGGAAAAACGATGGAAAAACGAGGGGCCAACCGTCTATAATTTGCATACAAATGCGGGGCCAACAAGGACAACGACAAGTGGGTGACTTCAAGTCCGGGATTGGATTCCGGGCTCTCACTCCCACTCCGAGGTGGGAGTTTGTTTTAGTTTGGCTCTGGGCTGCGTTGCGGCAAACAAACACAAATAAAGATGCTAATCTCAGCAAAGCGCACTAGCTCCATCGAATCAAAAAAAAAAAAAGGGAAAAAAAAGCCAACTTCTAGCATCTAAATGGCAAGCGAAACGAGCAACACGAGCTTGGGCTAGTTGGCCACAAAAAGCATGGCCGAGATTCTTCAGCTGATGTGCGTGGTTCTCTTGTTTATTTATTTTTTTATTTCTTTTGCTTTTATTTTGGGCAAATCCCATTTGGTATGCAGCTGCAAACGCGTGAACGTTTAAACTTGATTTCAAGGACCTAGATTCAGCTTGAACTTGAGTTGCAGCTTGGAGCTTGGATTTGGATTTGGCAAGAGGCTTTGTCAGTATTTTTCCCCAACCAATCTGTCCGCCCAATTTCAAATTGGGGGAGTGTAATTTTTGTGTGCAAACATGGCTGAGACATCACATCGTTTACCCAGCCTCGGGGGGAAGGGCAGGCACAAAGGCGGAAAGACGACAGGATGGGAATCCGAGAAGGCGGAAAGAGAAGTCGACATAACGCACACTTACTAAAATTGAAGACACTTATAAAATCGGCAATTTGTTTAAATAAACTTTATGGCACTTGAGGCAAGCAACTCCAACCAACAGCCTCTGTTGTAGCCAAATATTTATTTTTGCAGCAGCCCCTCCGACCCATATTTTGCCCAACTGTTTGCAGTGAGTTTTAAGAGCGTCTATAAATTTTAGAAAAGTGCAAATAAAATATAGCGCCCGAGACTTCCTTGCCACAGTTTTTATTCGGTGGTTCAGTGGTTCGGTGGGGTAAATCCTTTAAGGCTCACTGCGGGATGAAATTGTCGCATTTATGTTTGGTTTATGCAAATGTCATGCCATCGCAACCGAGTGTCATGGCATTTGTCCTTGTCCTTGCCATTTGAGGTTGCTCTCACAATGCATGAACTCGTTAAAGAGTTCAGAGCTGTGGAAACTGTGTGCATTGTTTGTCATTTTTTACTGGTTCATTTTTGTAATAAATACCATCTGCATATCACAAATTTGAATAACTAAAAATAGTTCAATAAATTGAAAAATAGTAAATGTGAAATATTCGATGCAAATTTGATTTTTAACGAGTGCGAAATAAACATGGTAAATTGATTTTGTTGATGGAATGCATATTTCGATTTAGGACTCGGTTCCTGAATTTCAATTTCATACTATTGTGAATGCAAAATACTCATATTTGACAATGTTTTCCAGCTGGTTGCTCTGTGAACGTGGGAACTAATTTGTATTTCAATTATCATCCCAGGCTGGACCATCCGTCGTCCTGTCCGTACCACAGTCGACATGGACTACTACAGAGTTGGTAAAGAAACTTTCTGTTTATCTCCGGCAGACACATTAAGGCTAATTGAAATTATTATTTTTATTTCGATGCCAAGTTCTGTTCTCGTCTCGGTTCACTTTGCCTTTCATTCGGCCATAATTAAAAGTGTATTTAAAAAACAATTTCGGAGGCATAAAATTAACATAAATTGATGCGGTCGAGGTCGGGTCAGCTAAGAGAGAGAATCGGGTCGAAAGGTGGCGACACCCAAACAAACACATTTATTGCTATGCTAATTCGTGTTCGGGTCACACAGAAGCCAAATGCACAATGGCGGCGAGCGGAAGCGGAAATGCCTAAATGACTATGCCGCCGCTGCCGTTGTGTGTGTGCGTGGATGCCACAAAGTTGCCGAGTTTGCCGTAAAAAAGGTTCGTTGCCATCTTTTCATGGCACTCGCAAAAGGATTAAAAGCAAAAGGCAATAAAATGAAAAGTTTCAAATATTTTCATTATTATAACCGGCCGCAGCTTTAACTTACCCAACAGAATGTGCACGACCAGCTGCAGCAGCCAGTGGCCCAGGTCCATTGTCCTTAAAGCTCCCGGCTTCCGGATGCGATCCTTTGCCTGGTCCCTGGCCACATGGAACGGTATCGGGATGGGCGAGGCCTTGGCGTTGGCGTTGGCGTTAGCGGTAAACTTTGCTCTTTGGCCAAACTCAATGGCCGGCCATATTTTCTATTAGTCGAAACTTTTATGGAAAACTTTTTCGACCCTACGCGACGTCTCTCATGATTACATCGGCGTGTATCTACATAGATATAGTTTCGATATCGATAAATGCCATTGACAGGTCAGCAGCGGGCCATTGAGCTAGAAAAATAAATGGAATGGAGAAGCCTTGTTACTAAAAAGAAATCGATGGCTTTTTTGTTTTAAGGTTATTAAATTTGAAAACTTTTTTGGCGTCAAAGTCCAAAAAACATTCATCTGTTCGCCTCGCTTTCCGCCCGCACGTGTTCGACTTTTCTAAAGTTTTCCGTTTGATTTTTTTTTTTATTAAACTTCTCTCGGTTTTTGCTTTTTGTTATTTTTTTGCCACTGCATTTGTTTATTGTCATTGTCAGCGTTATTTAAACGTTGACAGTTTTAAAAAATTCACCGGGGTCCAACATCATCCAACCAAAAAAACAAAAAAAACAAAAACTCAAAAAATAGCAGACAACTTTGTCTGTCACGGAAGCCAAAAAATTCCAATAGCTACTGGCCGAGGTCCAGGACCAGATATCTCAAAAGGCTGAGGCATAGACTTCCGAGAGTCCGAGGTCAGGACGCTTTTGCTTTCTGCTTCGCTCCAGGCCCTGGGCTTCGGGCTTTGTGGCACAAAGTCCTTTAATGCTCTAATCAAATTGTGGCTTCTTTTTTGTGGGCTTCCCCTTGCTAATGTTGTTGTTATTGTTGCTGATGCTGTCGTCATTGTTTTGGTTTCATTGACGCGTTTATTAAAATTACCGTGGCAAAGTTTTTGCTGCGGAACGGCATTTTATTTTTAAAAACAGACAGACAGACAGCTCCCGTGTGCGGTGGAGTGTTGGAATGGCGGACATCCAAGCATCCGGATGTTTTTGTTACTAAAAATATTCGTTAACATTGCACGAGCCAGAGGAATCTGAACGTACAAATTACAATGGTGATTGGACTAGACAGGATGAAGGAAACAAGTGCAGAAGGGAATAATGAAGGTAAAGTGTACGAGCTAAATATTTGACTATTATAGCCAAAAATAGAACCTTCTAAAATAGCAGTTAAGAATGTCAGGGCCTAGAATTTGAATCCATTCTGTTGCTATTTTAATTGGTTGAATGAAATTTACTATTTAATATTTAATTTTGAAACATTTTAATTTAATAAATATGCAATCATGAAACTACAACTGTAAGCTCACATTTTAATCAAATTATTTCAATGAATTGCATTGTTAAATGGTCTGATCCTCCCTGACTTTGAGTTCATGGCAATCACATGAGACAATATCAACATTTTGACTGAAAAATGATTGGCCAATCGGCTGCAATTCCCTCTAGTAGAAAATGCCAATCAAACATGTACATAACAGATAACGAAATCAAATCAAAGACAAATATGTGAATTCTTTTCCCAAGTCAATGCCAAGTCAGAAACGAATTCCTTTATTCGACTTTCGGCCATCCAGTAGAATTTTCAATTGAATGCTTCAGGATGCAGCAATTCCTGACAATTATAACATGTATTCCTGGGATAGTGACTTTCTGCAAGACACAAGAACCTATCCCGGAGGCGTACAAATTTGCATGCCGTCCAATTATATTGAAAATATCAAATTAATGGCAATTTCAGTTCGCTCTTGACATTTGCATTGCCCCAGCCGTTCCAGCTGCATTTGCAAACCCAATTGCCTTTTGCACTTGTTTGGCATATCAATTTGCTCTCAATTTGTTGTGCATTAACATGGCGTATACGCAACATGTTTCCCATCGACGGAGACAATGTCAAGTACTCACACACACATGGCAATAATTGGAGCACACACACGCACAAATACCAAGATAGAGAGAGAGAGGAAGTGAAAGAGGGAGACGGACTTAAACAGCTTTGCTTGGAGCCCAGTTAATTACTTAATGGCAATGTAATGTATACACATACATAATTAACAAACATTTCATTGACTGGCTTAAATGACATACACACACACACCACACACACTCTTCCTCATGCATATACCTCACTCTGTCGCTCCGCTGTCTAAAACCTACACTGTCTGTGTCACACGATTTGCTGGCTCCTGAAATATTTATGAGCATTCGCCGGCCGCTGCAGTTTGTGTTTTGGCCATATAGCCTGATTTGCATAAATGCATAATTCTACCGATGCCTTCCACTTTATTTCTTCCGCAGTTTCCAGCTTTGGTTCAGAGATTCAGATTCGGACTCGGTTTGGCGGCTTGCCTTGTTGGCTTTTTTGTTTAATATTTTTTTGTTTGGTTCACGTCGAACGGCAACAACAATAACAACTACACCGTACCGCTCGTCCCGCAAAGTTTCGTCCTTCGTTCTGCTCCGCACCAAAGTTGCCGTAAAACTGATTCTGGCCAGGCTATTCCCGATTCCGGCGCGGATGCTGCCGCTAAGCAACTCTTTGATGGCTTGGCTATATCCTCGCAGGACCTTCGGCAACACGGCCGCAGCATCGTTTTACGCTCGCCTTTCGCTCGGCATTCTCAGCCAGAAGCAGGCAGAGAAATTTCCATTCGAAAAGAGAAAGCACAGAACAGCAGCCGAACCTTTTGGGCGCGGTATGTCTCTTGTGCTTTCTCCTGTTCTCGTTTGCTGTTCCAGTTTATTTGTTTGGATTTGTTTGGTCGCCTTGTGGCGCCTGTTAAGGTCCTGTTATCCTTGAAACTAACAGAGTGGAGACTTTTAACAGAGCAACGATATGCCACAACAGACTAAAAATTGTCTTATTTATGAAACACTTTTCAGGTACTTGAATAATAATGTAAATAAGCTTTAATAAAATGTATTTTTATAATATGATATAAGAATCTGCTGATTATTGGCATAGTCATCGATGTGGGCCAATTGTCCATCCCAGGCATTTTCCATATTTTGAAGGGGACCCTCCAGAAAATTTGACAAAAAAACTAAACAAAAATTTCCATCCAGATTTTGCAACAGATGAACAGAGAATCGATATACAAATCGTTTAAGGTATTCCGCTTAAGAATCTGATGATTATTGGCAAATATATAGTCATCAATGTGGGCCATATTGTCCATCCCAGGCATTTTCCATATTTTGAAGGGGACCCTCCAGAAAATTTGACAAAAAAACTTTAAAAAAAATTTCCATCCAGATTTTGACGCAGATGAACGGAGAATCGATATACAAATCGTTTAAGGTATTCCGCTTAAGAATCTGATGATTATTGGCAAAGATATAGTCATCGATGTGGGCCATATTGTCCATCCCAGGCATTTTCCATATTTTGAAGGGGACCCTACAGAAAACTTGACAAAAAAACTAAAAAATATTTTCCATCCAGATTTTGACGCAGATGAGCAGAAAATCGATATACAAATCGTTTAAGGTATTCCGCTTAAGAATCTGATGATTATTGGCAAAGATATAGTCATCGATGTGGGCCATATTGTCCATCCCAGGCATTTTCCATTTTTTGAAGGGGACCCTCCAGAAAATTTGACAAAAAATATGAAAAATAATTTTCATCCAGATTTTGCAACAGATGAACAGAGAATCGATATACAAATCGTTTAAGGTATTCCGCTTAAGAATCTGATGATTATTGGCAAAGATATAGTCATCGATGTGGGCCATATTGTCCATCCCAGGCATTTTCCATTTTTTGAAGGGGACCCTCCAGAAAATTTGACAAAAAATATGAAAAATAATTTTCATCCAGATTTTGACGCAGATGAACGGAGAATCGATATACAAATCGTTTAAGGTATTCCGCTTAGGAATCTGATGATTATTGGCAAAGATATAGTCATCGATGTGGGCCATATTGTCCATCCCAGGCATTTTCCATATTTTGAAGGGGACCCTCCAGAAAATTTGACAAAAAAACTAAACAAAAATTTCCATCCAGATTTTGCAACAGATGAACAGAGAATCGATATACAAATCGTTTAAGGTATTCCGCTTAAGAATCTGATGATTATTGGCAAAGATATAGTCATCGATGTGGGCCATATTGTCCATCCCAGGCATTTTCCATTTTTTGAAGGGGACCCTCCAGAAAATTTGACAAAAAATATGAAAAATAATTTTCATCCAGATTTTGACGCAGATGAACGGAGAATCGATATACAAATCGTTTAAGGTATTCCGCTTAGGAATCTGATGATTATTGGCAAAGATATAGTCATCGATGTGGGCCATATTGTCCATCCCAGGCATTTTCCATATTTTGAAGGGGACCCTCCAGAAAATTTGACAAAAAAACTAAACAAAAATTTCCATCCAGATTTTGCAACAGATGAACAGAGAATCGATATACAAATCGTTTAAGGTATTCCGCTTAAGAATCTGATGATTATTGGCAAAGATATAGTCATCGATGTGGGCCAATTGTCCATCCCAGGCATTTTCCATTTTTTGAAGGGGACCCTCCAGAAAATTTGACAAAAAATATGAAAAATAATTTTCATCCAGATTTTGACGCAGATGAACGGAGAATCGATATACAAATCGTTTAAGGTATTCCGCTTAGGAATCTGATGATTATTGGCAAAGATATAGTCATCGATGTGGGCCATATTGTCCATCCCAGGCATTTTCCATATTTTGAAGGGGACCCTCCAGAAAATTTGACAAAAAAACTAAACAAAAATTTCCATCCAGATTTTGCAACAGATGAACAGAGAATCGATATACAAATCGTTTAAGGTATTCCGCTTAAGAATCTGATGATTATTGGCAAAGATATAGTCATCGATGTGGGCCAATTGTCCATCCCAGGCATTTTCCATATTTTGAAGGGGACCCTCCAGAAAATTTGACAAAAATATGAAAAATAATTTTCATCCAGATTTTGACGCAGATGAACAGAGAATCGATATGCAAATCGTTAAAGGAATTCCGCTTAAGAATCTGATCATTATTGGCAAAGATATAGTCATCG